GTCTGCCAGCAAGCCCGGCTAGTTTTTGTATTTTTACTAGAAACGGGGTTTCACCATATTGGCCAGGCTGGTCTCGAACTCCTGACCTTGTGATCTGCATACCTCGGCTTCCCAAAGTGCTGGGATTACAGTCATGAGCAACCACCTGCACCTGGTCCAAATTATTCTTAAAAACTCTGATCCCTAAATGCTCAGGGAGACTGATCTGAGTAATAATAAAACTCCATCTCCCACACAGCTGGCTCTGCATGAATTACTCTTTCTCTATTGCAATTCCCCGGTCTTAATAAATAAGCTCTGTCTAGGCAGTGGACAAGGTGAAACCACTGGGCAGTCACAAATTTGGGGGCTCATCCAGGATTACCTTGTGACAACCTGCCTGTGGTTCAGTAGCCCCCTGCCTCCAGCAATGGATCCAGAGGCCAGTCCAAGGAGCCATCTAGTTCTCTTGGACTGGGGGCTGAGTCTGGTACTCTCTACTTGTATATAACTAACTTCCAAAAATATGCTGTTCATTTCTTTGTAGATCATTCACCTGGCAAGCTTCTATTCTTTATTCAGTTTATTTTCCTAGAATGTAAGCTCCATGCAGGCAGGAATATCTTTCTCCTTTGTTCACTACTGTGTTCCCAGGCTTGGAACTTAGGCACTTAATAAACACTTGTGGAATATATTCTTCTCAGCAACAGCCTTCCTCAGGAAGCCTTTCCTAACAGCCCCAAAGTGTGACCTCTGTGTCACTTCTCTCATATCCTCAACACTGTGAGCAGGAATTGAGTCTCATATATTCCAGTGCCAACCAACTCAAAATAAGTGGTTAATACATGTTTATTGAAAACATATGTACAGATGCATTCTCGATAGTAGTCTGACACTATTGCCTAGAGAATCTGGTCCTATGCATTGGTACATACCAGCAGCATAGTAGCACATCATAGGAGGTTCTGTTAACCCTATGTCATTGAGTATAGGCATCAGAAGGAAGAAGCAGCAATTTTAAATTTTTCATTACTCTCAGGGAGAGAGCACCAATGCCCTTTGTGGGAATGACAACTGACTCTCTAAGGATAACCTGATCATTACAAGTTATTACAAGTTTGGACAACAGCATCAGATACATCTTAAGTTTCATATTTTTTAGCACATGCTTTCATGCTACCAGAGATGAAGGAAAAAAGCACATTTGAGAAATTTGGGAATTTCCATTATGACAAAGTGAGAAATTCTTGTAAGTTTTAAGAGGTCAGGTTTTTTTTTTCTCCCTTCCCATTATGAAAATTTCTAAATTACTTCATGAATATAGGAACTCAAATGAGCTGAATTTCTCAGTTGAGCTAATCATAAATGTCTCTCTTTTTCTTTTTTTTTTTTTGAGGTGAGTTTCACTCTTATTGCCTAGGCTGACATGCAATGGCATGATCCTGGCTCACGGTAACCTCTGCTTCCCAGGTTCAAGAGATTTTCCTGCCTTAGCTTCCCAAGTAGGGTAGGTGGGATTACAGGCACCTGCCACCATGCCCAGAGAATGTTGTATTTTAGTAGAGATGGGGTTCTCCACATTGGTCAGGCTGGTCTCGAACTCCCGACCTCAGGTGATCCACCCACCTTAGTCTCCCAAAGTGCTGGGATTACTCAGCTGTGAGCCACTATGGCTGGCCAAATCTCTATTTACTTCAACAATTTGATATAGGGTTTTCCTACAAGGTGCAGTTCACGTTTTAGTTGTCATTATCTTCAGACAAACTGAGCATGATACTCCCATTCACAAAGATCTCATTGATTAATCTCTCCACGTAGTAAATATATTATAGAAGGAGAAAAAGATTTTGACAGTTGTTTTCGTTTGTTTGTTTTGAGAAGGACTCTCACTCTGTCATCCAAGTTGGAGTGCAGTGGTGCGAACTTGGCTCACTGCAATCTCTGCCTCCCAGGTTCAAGTGGTTCTCCCCCCTCAGACTCCTGAGTAGCTGGAACTACAGGTGCCCACCACCAGGCCTGGCTAATTTTTGTATTTTCAGTAGAGTCGGGGTTTTGCCATGTTGCCCAGACTGGTCTCTAACTTTAGACCTCAAATGATTCTTTCCCAAAGTGCTGAGATTACAGTCATAAACCACCACACCTGGCCACAGTGGTTTTTCTTCTTATAGTCTGACACCAATTGGACAAGATTTGAAAGTAGCTACGATAATGACAAAAAGTTCAGAACTAATTGTTTGCTTCCCTGATCAAAGAAAAAGGGAAAGGGATTCTTTCGAGGGAGGGGTTTCTTTCATAATTCTTTTACTTAATGATTAATATCTTGCCAGGCACAGTGGCTCATGCCTGTAATCCCAGCACTTTGGGAGGCTGAGGCAGGTGGATCACAAGGTCAGGAGTTCAAGACCAGCCTGGCCAATATCCTTAATACAAAATATAAAAATTATTTGGGTGTGGTGGTGCTTGCCTGTAGTCCCAGCTACTCAGGAGGTTGAGGCAGAAGAATTGCTTAAACCTGGGAGGCGGAGGTTGCAATGAGCCGATATGCCACTGCACTCCAGCCTAGGCGACAGAGCGAGACTCTGCCTCAACAAAAAAAAAAAGAATATATATATATATACACACACACACACACACACACATAAAATATATATATATATATATATTATATATATATGTATACACACACACATAATAATAATATCTTCTGGAGAAACCACCATCCAAGATCCATGATTAATTCATCAAACATTGATTGAGGATGTACAATTTGTCCTCATACTTTGTGATTAAGGGTATAGACACTCAGTGCCTGAAATTAAGGTCATGGTGTTCAAATGAACTTGATTTGTCTAGAGGATGATAAGTGGTCCAGGGTGACTGGAACACATGAGGATAAGGCTAGGGAGATTGGTGGTGATGGGCTTTGTCTAACATGCTAAGGAGATTGGATTTTGCCCTGAGAGCAATAAGGAGAGCTCATGAGTAGGGTGGTGTCATCATCATGTTTATTTTTTGTGGTGATAACTCCAGCAACCCTTGGGTAGATTGGACTAGAGATAGCATTAGTGATTAACATCAGGAGGGTCCTTTTAAGAAATGCTAAAAACCTAATTTAGGGCAATACATTGTGGATGGAGAAAAAGGAATTCCCAGCCAATTGGATGAGCAGAATAAGAGAGACAGAAGAGCTGAAGAAGAAGAGAAATTGGTTCTAGTTTGAAAGGCTCAATGGACTGAGCATGGTGTCTAGTGCCTGTACACCCAACACTTTGGGAGGCTGAGGCAGGCAGTTCACTTGAGGCCAGGAGTTCGAGATCAGCCTGGTCAACACTGTGAAACCATCTCTACTAAAAAAACAAAAATTAGGCCAGCGTGGTGGTGCACATCTGTAATCTCAGCTACACAGGAGACTGAGGCATGAGAATAGGTTGAACCCAGGAGGCAGAGGTTGCAGTGAGCCAAGATGGACACCACTGCACTCCTGCCTAGGTGACAGAGTGAGATTGTCTCCCCACCCAAAAAAAAGAAGAAAGAAAAAAAGACATTTTTTTTAAAAGGCTCAGTGAATTTTTTTTTTTTTTTTGAAATGGAGTCTTGCACTGTCGCCCAGGCTGGAGTGCAGTGGCAAGATCTCGGCTCACGGCAACCTCCACCTTTCAAGTTCAAGTGATTCTCCTGCCTCAGCCTCCTGAGTAGCTGGGACTAAAGGCATTTGCCACCATGCCCAGCTAATTTTTTGTATTTTTAGTAGAGATGGGGTTTCACCCTGTTAGCCAGAATGGTTTTGATCTCCTGACCTCATGATCCGCCTGCCTTGGCCTCCCAAAGTGCTGGGATTACAGGCATGAGCCACTGTGTCCAGTGGCTCAGTGAATATTAATCATTAATTGAGCCAGGGAGTAGAAGAAGTCTGGAGGATTATGAATTTGGTTTTAGACATCCAACAGTTTGAGGTATCTGTAGGACAGCTGGGTGAAGACAACTGCTAGGTAGTTGAAAACTGACTTGGGAAACATCAGTGGAAAGGGATGGGTATATGTGAGATCACCAAGGAGCAAATGCTGCAGTGAAATCAAGCACAAAGGGGAAAAGAAGAGACTGGTTTGGGCAGAAAACCAGTCACTGGCAATCTTTGTAGGAATTTCAGGAGAGTGGTACAAATAGAAGCTGGATTGCATGGATTGAAAAGTAAAGCAATAGGTGCTAAAAGAATATCTAAACACGTTCAAGGCCAGGTTTTCAAACTAGAGAAATGTTCTAAGAGAAACTCAGGTGAGGTCCATAAGGAGACCTAGAAAGTGCAAACTAGATATTCTGGTCATATTCAAAAGAGATATCATTTTTTTCTTCCTAATAAATATTCATTGAATATTTCTTAGGTTTTTTTTGGTAAATGGACAAAGAAAATATTAATTTCAGAAAAGTTAGTCATGAAAATACACTAGTGTCTCCATAACTTTATAAACAGAAAAAAACCATGTGGAATATATAAATATATTAAAAATGAAACCAAACTAAATATATCCCTGTTATCAAAATCTTTAAGCTTTCAATCTAAAAGTCTCCTATTTTTCTTAGTTATCATTTGCAGTTTCTGACACTAATGAAAACTGGTATTCTTCATTAGTACTTAAGATATTTGCAAACAGAAACAGCATATATTGTCTCCAAAGTTTGCTCTGAGATATCTAAACGTTTATATAATTATTATTGTATTATCAAATAACTAGTAAAATAATTTTTGAATTTTCTATCAAATGAAGTGAACTATATAACAGCTCAACTTGTTAACATGTTACTTGCATTATGCATTTGCCTATCTCAAACTATGTGTACATTTGAATTAATGTTTCATACTGAACACCATCAACTGTAGTAAAATTAAAAACACAACCAGTATCACTTCATAGATACAGAAGTTAAATGGAATAATTCCTAAATGCAATGAAAGTTAAGTATGATTAAGAAAGCTGGTATATGTACAGCAAAGTTTATACTACAAACTATTCAGAAATACAAACCTTTGCATCTAAAATATTGAGAGTTGTTTCAATTTGTTGGATACGAAGTGAAAGGTCTGCCAGTTTCTGGAAAAGAAAAATTAGAGACAAAAAAAATAAGAACTGATTAAGATAAAATGTTAACAATACTAAGGACAGATCTGAAAATATGAAAAACCATGGTTTAAATATTTGTCATGTTTTAATATAGTACGGTCTTACATGAGTAGGAATGAGAACTCTTCTATTACCTGTATTAGAATGCTTCTCAGTTATTTTATAAAATTATATTCACTTTTAAGATAGTAACATTTTCAGCTTTAGCCAACTCATTATCAGAGCAGTAAATGATTGTTGAGACTAGAATATAAACAGCCCAGGACAGAGCCTTTTGTTTACTACCGTACCTTTAGTGCCCAGAATAATACCCTGACACTTAACAGGCTAAATAATTATTTGTTGATGAATGAAGAACTTTTTCCATTCAAAGACACCCCGTAACAAGGACTGCCTTTATAAATTACTTAAATGAATAAGCATATACAATTTGTCCCATATTTAAACATCGCTAGTTTGAAAAATAAAGGGGGATGAAATTGGAAGATGAGTAATTCATTTTGGAAAGAGTTAGAAGATAAAAAATTAGGGTATTTTTAAAAATCTACCACCAAAATGCAAGATAAACCAGATTGAAGAGCTCATCATGCTTGTTACTCTGTATAATTAAATTATCAATATACCTTGTAAATTTACACCTACACAAAGAAAAGTAACCTCATAAAATATTACCTGTAAGAACATTTACTTAAAACCTCCTAATCTTAAACATTATATTCAGTCACATAGTCCAAGAGCAGTTGGCAGATACAGGCATCCTGACTCTATCCTGGGATATTTTTAAAATCCTAACTATTAAGTAGAACTTTATCATATGTGAAACTGTCACCTGCCCACAATTAGAGGGGGCAAAAACTGAAAGTGGCCACAAAGTAGAGAGTGCTTCTTTACAGGTCACTTATTCTTAGGTTAGCATCTTGATATCCATAAAGATATCAAGATAATCTATAAATAAAATATTAGGATCTAGTTTTCATGGTATCAAAGCTAAATCTACCCTTAACTTCGGAATTCATTCACATAAAGCTTCTAAGTAAACACTAATACAGGTTTATAACATATATTATGGATGAATCCCTCTCCAAATTATAAGTGTATTCCTTAAATCAGAGAAATTTAATTTTGGCAAATCTCATCAGTCTCAATTCACTAAAGAAGAAATTCTACAGCAAATTAATATGTAAAGTGAATGATAATTTCCAACTTATTTAAAAATGGATGTAATGGTTTGATTGAAGGAAAGAGAAAAAAAACAAAAACTTGAATTAAAAATTTTTGTGCTTTAATATACCTATATAAATATGTACTTTTAAACAATAATCATCAATATTATAAATATTTGAGCATTTAAATTAGTACATATGCTACACTATATATGCAATATATCATTTGAAATCTTACACCAAATCTATGAAGTAGGAACTATTATGCCAGTTTTAAATATAAGAAAATACAATTAAAATAACGTAACTCAAACCCTCTAACTCCAGAGGCAATACATTTCATCAGATTTTTTTGAGAGAATTTTACATTGTTAAGATATAATGGTAAATTATCGGGTGTTGCATAGAATTTTTGTTATCCAAAGCTAACAAATGATCAATTCATTTCTCACTATGATAATTCTGTGCCAAGAGGAAAAGCCTTTTGCTCTTCTGATTTTGAGATGATCATTTACAAAGTGGTTCTGAACTACAGTACCTGAACCAAGATGAGAGAAAAAATTCTACCTTTATTTTTATCTATTTCCAGCTTAAATTTGGCATTAAAAAAAATCACCACAGGCCAAGTGCAATGGCTCATGCCCATAATCCCAGCACTTTGGAAGGCCAAGACAGGTGTATCACCTGAAGTCAGGAGTTCGAGACCAGCCTGACCAACATGGTGAAACCCCATCTGTACTAAAAATACAAAAAAATTAGCCAGGTTTGGTGGTGTGTATCTGTGGTCCCAGCTACTTGGGAGGCTGAGGCAGGAGAATCGCTTGAACCCAAAAGGTGGAGATTGCAGTGAGCTGAGATCATCATGCCACTGCACTCCAGCATGGGCATCAAGCGAGACTCTGTCAAAAAAAAAAAAAAAATCACAGTGGTTTTAGAATCTACGACTGTCACCAATAGAAATCATAGATTTTTTAAAATCACATTACAATGATTACAGATTTCTTTCTACTTCAAAATTATGGTTATTAGACATACCAAAGGATTCTACAATTTGATGCTTTAATAAAGAACCTACCAGTATATCATAGTTTTGAATTTTTTTAAGTACATAAGTGGTTTCTTTTGTAATCCTATGCATTTTATTTTATCCACCTGAAAACACTGATTTTGTTTCACTAGACTGTCAAAGTGTCCATGGCATGATAAACAAAGAACTATTTTTCAAAGATAATTGTCTAATAAATGGTTTTGTCTGTTACAATGTATTTATTGCTATAACATACATGAATGTGTACCTTTTACAGAGCCATTGTCAGTTCAAAAGGTATACCTGGGTTCATTTATGGGCTGCTGAAGTTCATTTCTAAGATGTTTATGCTTGCGGCATTTTCCTTATATAATCCCCAGACCACTATAAAGCAGGTTTTTCAGCACTGGCTACATTGACACTTATGGGTGAAATATTCTTTGTTGCAGAAGACTATCCTGTGCACTACGAGATGGGTAGCAGAATCTCTGGTCTCTATCCAGTAGAGATTAGTAGTCTACTAAATGCCCATAGCACTCCCTGGTTATTACAATAAAAATACCTCTAGATATAGCGGTATGTCCCCTGATTGAGAGCCACTGCTCTATAGTATGGATGACGATGGATATGACATAAGTAGCATAATCAGTGACAGTAGCTGTCCTCGCCTCTGAAAGTTTTAGCAAGAGGAAATTCTCATCCATTTAACCATCATCTTTATGAAGACTAAAACCAAACTTGAAATGCTATGGTTCGGGATAACAGGGGAATTTACCTGAAATTTGTCAGATAAGCTGAAAACCTGATCTATTTTTAAGGCAGTACATTTTATAGAGTCAAAATAAAAGGAAAAAAAGAAAGAAGGAAATATGGAGTTACTAGTTGAATATAGAAACGAAATAAAACACCGGTTTTTCATGGATGTAAAATATATAGCTTATATATCCATTTCTCTAACAGAGAAACAGTATTTTAAAATAATGGATCTCTTGGTATATCCCACTGTGTTGTATGTGTCCCAGAAGCCAGAAAAGGAAACAATGGTTTTAATTAGGTTGCATCTGATACTTAAGTCCAGCAGTTGTTAAAGATACAAGAGCAAATAAAGATTTAAGCAAAACATTATCTGATTAAAGGTTAAGTCCACTGGCAGGTAATAAGCACTAAAGAAACTTTTAGGTTATGTGACAATTCTCAGCACGTTTGCTTGTACTTAAAAATTTTAGAAAAAGAAATTTCAGAATATTAAAAATTATTTAAAAATCCAATATTTAGTAATAAGTCTGAGTTTGGCCGGGGGCACCTGTAATCCTAGCACTTTGGGAGGCCAAGGCTTGATCTCAGATGGCTTGATCTCAGGAGTTCAAGATCAGCCTGGGCAGCACAGTGAAACCCTGTCTTTACAAAAAATAAGCCAGGTGTGATGGCACGCACCTGTAGTTCCAGCTATTTGGAGCACTGAGGCAGGAGGTCTAGGCTGCAATGAACTAAGATCACTCCACTACACTTCAGCCTAGGTGACAAAGTGAGACCCTGTCTCAAAAAAACAACAAAAAGTTTAAATCAAAATACATTTTGGCCTGGTGCAGTGGTTCATACCTATAATTCCAGCACTTGGGAGGCCAAGGCCTAGGGATGACTTGAGCCCAAGAGTTGGAAACCAGCCTAGATAATGTAGTGAGATGCCATCTTTAACACACACCCACATACACATATAGTTGGGTGTGGTGGCACATGCCTGTAGTCCTAGCTTCTAGGAGGCTGAGGTGGGAGGATCACTTGAGCCCAGGAAGTTGAGGCTGACTTGAGCTGTGATCATGCCACTGCCCTGCAGCCCGGGTGATAGAGCAAGACCCTGTCTCCAAAAAAAATTACATTATGAAAAAAACATAGTAACACATCTGACACGTCTGTTTATAAAATACCTCTGACTTTAAGGTTCACTATAAGGTTAAATGCTCAGGTTTTACCTGCAATATGCATAGATCTTACATTGCTTCCTGCCAAACCCTCAAAATTTGCAGTCCCAATGGATGACCATAAGATTCTGCTGACTAAAGCAAGAATAAAAATGCTCACTGGGGATTTGTGAAGGAAGAGGAGATGACCCTAAGTACCCTTGTAACTTGGGTCTGATTCTACTACTTTCTCTGTCATCTAATCTCTCTTCTACTCTGGTGCCAATCAATGGAAGAGTTATAAAAGTAGCCTAATAGGCAGAAAGTGTTTGAAAAGTTGAGTTCTTCACAGAATGCAGTTTATACTCTTCTCTTTAGTGAAGAACTCTAAAAACAGCGTCACTGATGAGGAAAGAAGCCTAGCAATTTGTTTCAAACTTAATTCTGGCTTGAGAGTTTATCTGTGACTGAAGTTGCTTAAGTTTGGGTTTGGTTCAAACCAGATCCTGTGGGGGGTGGAAAAAGTTTCCTTTTTCCTCCTAGTTCACTTTCAGTTTAAAAACTAACAGTTGAGATTCCTCTTTTGTTGAGAGAAACAGTCAGTTTGGTTCTTGTTTAAGGCTTTAAATAAACAAGGACTAGAGACCATTGACAAAAAATATTTCAAAACACTGAAGTGACTTTAACTTGGGAGAAAATGGCACCTCACATTTGAATATACATATCCTTGGAATTTACATAAAAAATATTACATCAAACAGACATGGCAGAGCAAAGAAGTGAATATAAATCTAAAAACAGATTTTAATATATCTATAAGAAGGCACTGGTACTGTATTCTCTCACTCGAAAATTACATAAACATGCTTCTTATTCAGATAAGGCAGTGCAATGTAAGAAAGTAATGAGATACTGACTTTTCCAGTTAAAAAATCAGTTGGAATCCAGTTCTGCTACGTTCTGTGTATGTGCAGTGAATGCAGCTACAACTACTGGGGGCACACAAAGATATGTTGAATAAATGAATGACCAAGCAAATGATTTAAACTTCTCTGCATTTTAGTTTCTGTATCTGCACGAGTAGGATAACCAATCCCCTCTCAAAGGGCTGACTCTGATAATTAAATACACATAAAGCACTTAGTATGATGTCCGGCACAGAGTAAGTACACAATAAATATTAGTTGTCATGTCATTGAGCAGTCTCCAGCTGACACGAATGTACAAATTGCCTAAATATATATTGTAGAAAATGAGTTACAGTCAACCCTAGATTATCATACATAAAGGAGAAAAAGGTGGGACAACAGCAAGATGGGGGAATAGGACTTCCCAGCACTCATTCTCCCACAGAAACATTCATTTGTAAAACTATTCACGCAAACTCCTGGGTGGTCTCAAACTCCTGGGTGCAAGTGATCCTCCTGCCTCTGCCTCCTAAAAAGCTGGGATTACAGGTGCACACTGCTGTGCCAGTTCTGGTACCTAATCCCCAGTTGGGTACTTACTCCTTACATCACAAGTCATTCACAGAAAATATTTTTATTTCTATAATCATATTTGATGCCAAAGTCCTAGGCTATATCCTCTAGCCATCTTTTAGATTAGAATGTAAAATAATTTTAATAAAAACAATGCATTTCTGGGGTAGGAGAAGGAATTTCAAAATAAAAACTATTTTCAACTGCGAAATTTTAGAGGCTGGGCGCGGTCGCTCACGCCTGTAATCCCAGCACTTTGAGAGGCCGAGGAGCGTGGATCACCTGAGATCAGGAGTTCGAAACCAGCCTAGCCAACATGGTGAAACCCCATTTCTACTAAATACAAAAAATTAGCCAGGAGTGGTGGTGCACGCCTGTAATCCAGCTACTTGGGAGGCTGAGGCAGGAGAATTGCTTGAACTCGGGAGGTGGAGGTTGCAGTGAGCCGAGATTGCGCCACTGCACTCTAGCCTGTGCTATAGAGTGAGACTCCGTCTCAAAAAAAAAAAAAAAGAAAGAAAAAAATTTTAGATTTCCTTTTGTTCTCTTTAACCGCAATAAGCCTGAATGAACTATCTCATGAGGACTTCTAGAACACTAATTCACTAGAGGAGGAGGTGCAGGAACTCAGAGTAAAAGAGAACTTAAGGTGTGTTAACACAATTGATGACTAGAGATCATGGTACTGTAATTCTTGTTTTACTCCATTTGTCAATCTCAGCAGTGCAAGGTGATTTCTAGGTGACTCTATAAACCAGTATATCACAGGACCTACCTCCTCACAAACTGTAGAAAAGCGGTTGAGGAACTGTACAGTGTGCACCACAAATTGGTTTAGAAAAGCCACTGTTCTTTTCTGTTGAATAGCTGGCACCTGTGTTACGTAAAAACAAACATGATTCATACAGAAGGAACGTACACTGTGCAAACCTTTTAATATCTGGACATAATCACGAGGCACTTTGCTGTGTGATATGAATTCCTTGAAAGACTGTGAATAGTCATTAACTTGTTGTCCTAAACCGTAGGTGGGGTGTCCGAAGATGACAGAGAATGCACTAAAGTTTGAGACCAGGCTCTAGCGTCACTAGTATGAATTTTAGCAGGCAAAAGCCACACACATAAACAAACACAAAAACTTGGGCTGAATAAGAGGTAGGGCTAGCGATCACAATCGGCTTGGGACACAATCGGCTTGGGATCACAATTGGGATCACAATCGGATTGGATCACAATCGGCTAGAGACCCCCGACACAATCGGCTTGGGATCACAATCGGATTGGATCACAATCGGCTAGAGACCCCCGACACAATCGGCTTGGGATCACAATCGGATTGGATCACAATCGGCTAGAGACCCCCGACACAATCGGCTTGGGATAACAATTGGGATCACAATCGGCTAGAGACCCCCGACACTGGAAGCGAAAGTTGGGAGATGCACACCTTCTCCTTAATCAGCTCAGGAGGAACCCCATTTCAAGATGGACTGTGGGGCTCTCCCTCCTGAGGCCGGCAGAAGGGTCCGGGGTCGGGACAGGGTGGGGCCCGGGAAGGTGGGGTCCCCGGGAAGCGGAGTCTTTCCCAACCTCCTCCCCGGTGGCCGGAAGTTTAGCACCGTCTTTTACAAACCTTGGTCAGGTCTAGAGAGGAAGCCCGTCCTCATCTATCTCCTCAGCGGGCGGGGGACCCAGAGTTCACCCACAAACCCCTCCCAGATGGTGACCGCCCAACCTGGTAACCGTGTCTCAACTGTCCCCCGCAAATCCCCGCCTCCGGGGCCCTTCCGGGCGGAAGAAAACGCCTCCGCTCACCAATCACTCGGCGGCTTCCGGAGAGCCCGCCTCCTCGCTGGGCATTCTGGGAATGGTAGTTTAAGTCCAGATGGGGACGTTAATTTCGGGGTGGTGCGTGATGGTGCAAGATGCAGTTATAGCAGTAAAATCTTAGGGTGTGGTAAAAATAAACAAAAAAAGCCAGAAATTGCGGGTCCTTTTGAGGTTATCCCTACTTAGTTCTGTCTGTTATATAATAGCTCCGTCACTCCTTGAGCAACAATTTTTTTTAAAAAATCCTAACTCTGGGCCAGGCGCAGTGGCTCACGCCTGTAATCCCAGCATTTTGGGAGGCCGAGGCGGGTGGACCACGAGGTCAAGATATCGAGACCATCCTGGTCAATATGGTGAAACCCTGTCTCTACTAAAAATACAAAAAATTAGCTGGGCACGGTGGCGCATGCCTGTAATCCCAGCTACTCGGGAGGCTGAGGCAGGAGAATTGCCTGAACAAAACCTCAGAAGGCGGAGGTTGTGGTGAGCCGAGATCCCGCCATTGCACTTCAGCCTGGGTAACAAGAGCAAAAAAGAGCGAAACTCCGTTTCAAAAAAAAAAAATCCTAACTCTGCTAGACCTTGCTGGGAAAACAAAGATTGAGTTCGATTGCTGCACTGGCAAGGTTTATACTCTGAAGAACGAGATATAAGACGTACTTCTAAAGTGTGTGTGTGTGTCTGTGTGTGTGTGTGTGTGTGTGTGTGTGTGTGTGTGTGTGTATACACTAGTTCTCGCTATTTACCCAGGCTGGTCTCAAACTCCTGGCCTCAAGCGATTCTCCTGCCTCAGCCGCCCAGAGTGCTAGGATTACAGGCGCGAACCACCAAACCTAGTCTTCCAAAGGTTTTTAAAACATGAAGTAAAATGTCAAATACTAGAGGTGAGGCACAACCTACGGAAGTGACTGTCACAGAGAGCATCAAAAAGATGAAGAAGTAGACTGAAGTGGGCAGTTTTGTTTTAAACATGCAGGGAGGTGGAGTCTTGCTCTGTCACCCAGGCTGGAGTGCTGTGAGGATCATAGTTCACCTAGCCTCAAATTCCTTGACTCAAACGATCCCTAAGCACTGGGTTTATAGATGTGAGCCACCAGCACCTGGCCCTGTTGCTTTGGTTGAAGCAAATGATCCCATAAATGGAGAATGGTAGGAAATGAGGTGGGAGTGTTACTGGTGGTGGGTATCCAGGTTCTTGATGCTTTGAATAAAGAATTGGACAAAACGCACCAAGCAAGGAAAGAATGAACCAAAAAAGCAGAGATTTATTGAAAACAAAAGTACATTGCACAGTGTGGGAGCAGGTGGGAGCTCAAGGGTCTGGATACAGAATCTTCTTCTGTTTAAATACCAGCTAGATGTTTCCCATTGTCCACTTGGTGTTCTCCTCATGTAAATGAAGTGGTGACCCACAATCAGTCTGATTGGTTGTGACAACCAATCAGAGGCTGAAGTTACACCAGTCACATTCCTATGCAAACATCTGATTGGTTGTGGGGAAACAACCAATCAGAGGCTAAAGTGATGTTACTGAGTTGCACTTTTATGCAAACGAAGATTTGACCCACAGTCATTCTGACTGGTTGCAGACAGCAACTAATCAGAAGCTGAGGCGAAGTTACAAAATTACACTCCTATGCAAAATCTGACTGGTTGCAGAAAACAACCAATTAGAGGTACTTTCCATTTTCACCTGCCCATCAAAACAGGTAGGGGTTTGCAAAGGGAGTAGCCTCTGGTCCTTTTATTACTTAGGTATAGAAAGTTGGGGTTTTCCTTTTGATTTTTTCTAGGAAGTCAGTATGAATCGGCTTTAGGCTTCCTCCCTCCAGACCCTATTCTGCCTCAGGAAACATAGCCAGAAAAATTTCATTTAAGGGCCTTTTATGCCAGATTTGATACTGTAGTCCACGTTTATCTAATGTGATCCATAGACCATCAGTAGCAATTATTTGGGAGTGGGTGGTGTTTCACGTTGCCTAGCTTAACCTTAGATTGATCACCTTCTCCTGATTGAACTTTCTTAATTTTTCTCTCAAGAAGGCAAATCTTTGGTTTTGTTTTTATCATTATGGTCATTTCTTTTCAGTTTCTTTTGCTGGTTCCTTCTCCTGTCCCCAATCTTTAGAGTTTCTCACATTTATATATCTAGCCAAAATCTCACGTTGGAATCCAATATAGCTGAAGCAGAGTGAGCAACGTGGGGAACTGAAGGACATGATGTCTGATTACGTGGAGACCTGATCATGCAGAGCTTTATGGGACATCATAAGGGCTTTGGCTTTCACTGTGGGTGTAATGGGAAGTCATGGAAAGATCTTGAGCAGAGAAATTATGGGAGTCACTGAAGAGCTTTAAAGCAGGGGCGTGGCATGATCAGAATTATACTTTGGGACATTCTATTTGGTACAAGATAATGAATGTGACCTGAGCCTGGTGGCTGAGCCTGGAAACAGTCACTCTTTACTCCATCCTCCTTTACCTCTTACCGCTTCTGTCTCCTAAGTAGCTCCTGAATCAATCTGTAACTGCATCTTTATTGCCCTATCTCAAGTTCTGTACAATACACTTTTATGCCTGGGTTACTGCAATAGTTCCTGCCTCCATCGTGTGTCTCTCTAATCTATTCTACACATTGTAGCCATAGTAACTTTTTTTTTTTTTTTTGAGACGGAATTTCGCTCTTGTTACCCAGGCTGGAGTGCAATGGCGCTATCTCGGTTCACCGCAACCTCCGCCTCCTGGGTTCAGGCAATTCTCCTGCCTCAGCCTCCCAAGTAGCTGGGATTACAGGCATGTGCCACCATGCCCAGCTAATTTTTTTTGTTGTTGTTGTATTTTTAGTAGAGACGGGGTTTCACCATGTTGACCAGGATGGTCTCGATCTGTTGACCTCGTGATCCACCCGCCTCGGCCTCCCAAAGTGCTGGGATTACAGGCTTGAGCCACCGCGCCTGGCCCTGGCCACAGTAACTTTTAAGAAGACAAATCTAATTATATTACCCAGGATATAATTTTCTTCCCCATCGCCCTCAGTTTAATATGCTCACAGGTCCTCTCTATGGCTCTTGGCCACTTCTTTAATTGTACCTCTCACTGTTACAACTTTCTCCTTAACCCCAAATAATTTCTTTCAATTCTTGGAACTGCTTGCTCTGTGTGGGTCTTTCAAGATGTTGTCTTTCCTCTGACTGGAACTATTTCCCTTGCTTCCAACCACCTCTGCCTGGGTAACTCCTACTCATTCTTCACATCTTTTCTGTCCTTTGTCCTTGGTTTTCAAGATTGAATATAATGTGCATGGGGTATGGGTATGGTTTTCTTTGTATTTATCCTGCTTGTGGCTTGCTGAGCTGCTCAGATCTAGGGGTTGTTGTTTTAAATCAAATTTGGAAAGATTTTTGGCTTTAATTCTTCACAAAAAGTTTTTATCATTTTTCTTTTTTTTCTGGGACTTCAAAAATATTTGTATGTTAGACTGCTTGATATTGCCCACAGGTCACGGTGCTCTGCTCATTTTCCCCCAGTCATTTTCTTTTCTCCCTGTGTTTCAGTGTGGATAATTCTTACCAACCTATCTTCAAGTATTTCCTACTTTCCAATTTATTATAAAACTCATCCAATAAATTGATTTCAGATATATTTTTGTTCTAAAAATGTTTTTTAGAGTTTCTATTTTTCTCATGAAATTCCCTTTATTCATCTTTTCCTCTTTATTAAAAAAACAAATTTATAAAGTTTTTAAAAGTCCTTATAATTCCAATTTCTGGTTCATCAATGTGCCTGCTTTTATTGACCACTTTTTCCTAATTATGAGTTGTTTGCTTCTTTTTAGCATGTCTTATAATTTTTAATTTTATTCTGGACATTGTGAAAAAAAGAACAGAATGTTCAGTTAGGAATGAAACATTCAGATTCACTCACAATTTGAATCAAGCTGGTGCTGGGCTGCAACTTTAGATTACGTTTACCTGCAGTTAATTCAATTCACCTTCTGCGAAAAACTCAGCTCCTGCATCTTGTCAATGTTTGAGTTTGAGGGGGATGGGCCATAGTTTCAGATCAGTTGGTTCACCTCTGGATTCAGCTTCAGTAGGGCTCAGAAATCCAAGCACTGGAAGAATGTGGAAGATTTAGTGAATTTTCTCTACTTATCAAAAGCATTTCCTCCATTGCTGCTTTCTTAGCAATCTTAGGGGTGGGGTGTAAGTCTAAGTGATTTATTTTTGTGATTGAGGTCCTTTGAGACCCAGGTCTGTCTCACCAGCTTATACCATTGGCAAAATCTCAGCCACTTTCTCCTTAACTCTGCAAAGTCTCCTAGAGTGTGGTAGGCTTGTTCTGGGCATGGCAATGCCACAACTCTCTGCTTAACTATGTTCCTCCAAACATAGGCATGTCTACAGAATTTATTTTATTAAGGTCTTACAGACATTGCTTTTCAACAGCCCCACAAAAAGTGTGATTTTTATCTGGTTATTTCTTATTACCACTATGTAAAAGGCTTTCATGCATCTTTCTGTATTCTAACTACTAGCAGAAGTCTTACCATTCCGTCCTTACAGCTTTCCCTAACCCACAAAGATTAGATTAACTGTTCTTATATGCTTCTATAGCATTCTCTGCTTAACTCTACCTTAGCACATATAATTGCCTGTTTGCTTCAAAGCCTACTATATTATCAATTTAGGGCAGTCTCTGTTAGTTCACTATTAAGGCGCTAGCCTAATGTCTGACCTACAGTAAATGACTACAGTAGATTTACCTACAGTAAATCTTCTGAGTGACATTTGGGCTTAATAAACCTTGTACTTCCACATCTTACTTGATATTCCATGAACCTTCAATTTAGGTGGAACTCACAACTCTGGTTACTCACTTAATCAGCCTCCCTGAGCAGAATTCCCCAGCGATCAGCCTAGCCTTCTTCTAGAGCCAAGTGAGGCTCCCAACCAGGAGAAAAATTAAAAAAAAAACAGCATAGTAACTTCATGGTTATGGTTATGTGTAAGTAGCAGGTGTTTATATATGTGTATTTGTGTATACATGTGTATATGATGTGGTTCTAGATACAGTTATGGGCCACATACTGTTTAATCAGTAATGGACTATTACAGGGTGACCCCTTTAGATTATAGTAAAAGGTATAGTATTTTTACTACACCTTTTCTATGTTTAGATACACAATTACCATGGTGTTACAATTGCCTATAGGATTTAGTACAGTAATGTTCTGTACAGGCTTGTGGCCTAGGAGCAATAGACTACACAAAATTTTGTTAAATGGTTGTGTTTTTAGAGTGGCAGTTTCTTTGCCTCCTAGGATCCTTGATGATTACTGTCCTTAGTTCCTGAGAGCGGTGCCATTCACATTTTAATAAAGGATTTCCAGGACTATTAAAAAGAATCTATACCTAGAAGTCTTGGCCAACTGCCAGATACCTTTTGAAATATGTACTCTTTCCTTCAGGTTTTCTTGCACTGGTAAAAATGAAAAGTATTAACTAATTTCATTTACTGTAGTGAATTTTGGGGGCAAAATAGATTTTAATGAATACTGATTTCAAAGACTATATGTGCCACCTCCATATATTCATTTAAGAAAAAAACCTTAAGAATTTTTCAATTTCTTGAAATGTTTTCATAAGATTACCAGAACATTGCTGTTATTTATTTTTATCATGAGTATGGTCTTAGGTGGGAAAACAATTAAAAATGGCTCCCCTCCCCCCCTTTTTTTTGTATTTCTCCCTGCTCTGCTTCAGGATGGAACAGTTAGAGAGGCATGGTGTTGATTCATAATAGTGGGAAAACAAAATTAAATGTTTCCCATCCTTATTTCCGCCTCAACCCCATCTCTCAGGAATTATACCAGTCATCTGTTGAGACTTGGTTAAGTGAAGGAATTTTAGCCTTGTTACTTCAATTGTGTTAGTAATTCATGTTTCCAGTTATTCCTTTTCATTGTTCTGGCTTTCCTAACTTCATACAGAAAATTGAGTTGTAACCTTATATCCTCTGGGCAGGAGACTTGATTCCTCTCTGGAAAGCTAACTACCTCAAGAGAAGAGACCTACAGATACTTATAGTCAGCTATTCCTCAGCAAAAGAACAATCAAAATGATCCTGCCTTCTTTGAGGGGGCTGGGAAAAGGTCTCACTGTACTCATGGGACTTTTACTTATGGAGACAAGAGATGACACAGAGAAGCTAATGCTATTGAAAGGATTTAGTACTTATTGTCCCCCAGAGGCACACCATGCCATACAAGGCCACAAGGGAAACACCAGTTTGGTTAGGAGAGAGAAGCAGAAGCGAGGGGACTTCTCAGGAGCAACCATTACTATTTTTAGAGTTATGGTACTTTATCTCGAATTCACTGAGTCATATTTTTCCCCCTTTGGTGCAGTAGAAATTAGGTAAACATCAGCCATAAGTCTTTGCTTAGCTTTGCACACTTATTAGCACTCTGTTCTCTTCATAGAATTGCCATCTCCATTTATTTTTTTGAAAAGCAGCAAATGATGCCACTATCAGCTGCTTCTAATTAACCTCCCCTGCCTGTTTGTAAATGACTCAGCACCTGGACTTCATAAAGTGGTCAGGTCATTTTGAATCACAACCAAATAAAATCACTTAAAACTACTCTGAAGTTCAGCATCAGCATTTCTTCAATATGATCATGCTAGAGCCTTTGCTATGAACTTTTACAAAATATCTGGGCCACAAGTTATAAGCCAGTCAATCTAGGAAAATGGTTCATGGTGTTTTTCAGTGTGAGAAGCCCTTTAAATAATATTAAAAACATTTTGAAGAACATTGATGATGATTGTGGTTGGACATCTAATATTCACTGAACAAACACATATACATTGTTGTGTGTGAAATTTAAATTAGGAATATAAGTGGCTTTTCTCCAAACTCCAGAGCTAAATCTGAAGACATGTAGTAGATATCAAGATGACAGACACACCTCCATCTATCTGGGAATGCCTTATTACCCTCTCAAGATTGCTGAGATCTCCAAATGCCACTATCTCTGAATATGAGTGGAGAGTTCCTTGGCTAGGTCATTCCCCTCCTTCCTATTATGGTGTTTTGGGGAGGAAGTGAAATATGGCAAGACACCTTAAGTAAAAATCTGTTAGGAATATGTGAACAAGTTTGATTCTGGGGCTGTCTTTATTATCTCAGGACCCTAGGAGGTCATGAATTCTAGGGAAAAAGAGGATTTTGCTAGTGGTAGCATGAATATAATTTGGAGAAACCTTGCAATAGTTCCATATTCTCCCAGGTACTTGCCACCAAGGTTGGGGAACAACAACCCAGGGTTACATGAAGACTGTATACACAAAAAAATACATCTTAGTTATTGTGGTAGGTGGGTGTAATGATAAGAAGAGAAAGAGGTCAAAAACCACTGACAGAATTCCAGAATTGTTCCCTAGTTTTAGGATTTAATGGATTTGTGGATTAAGTTCAAGATGAGGTGAGACCTCTGAAAGCTGTCTATATAACCACATCCTGTACTTGCGCATAATCACATGCCAGGAAAATCCTATGAGATAAATCCAACATTAGCTCTACAGATTTCAGGTGAGGGGTAGTCCCACAAAGGTTCTCTTGGAATAGGTAATTTGGAGAGAAATGCATTATTAGCTGTTCACAATACAGCTTGAGGTGCTAACGTCCAAATCACAGGAGAATCAGCCCTACAGAACATTTGGCAAAGTATACAAAATTCCAGAAAGTCTAATACTTAATGAAAAAAATTTTTTTGTAGGCTGGAAACCAAAATGAGCTATTACACAACAATTACAATGAAATATATTAAGTTATTCTATTTGTAATAAACACCTGGTTTTAGTTAGTATTAATGGAAGAAAATACTAGCAATTAACCAAAGAAACACTAAATTAAGATGGTTGAAAGTTCATTAAAAAGTAACTTATATTGGTCTGATTTAAACTTAATGTAAACTAAGACTATTATGGTAAAAGCTGACTTTCTAAGTAAAAATGAACCAAAATGAACTTATTTGGTTACACAGTTTCCATCTTTCTATCTTCTTTATCACTATGGTATAATTTATCATTAGTTGTGTCTGGCTTACTTTAGAGGTCAGTTGTCTGGAACTTACTTCCTTTTATGCTGCCTCAAAAACAGATTTCCTAAAACAGTATTAGAAAGCTCTTACTTAAGATGGTTGCAAAGATTAACCTCAATTTTGGCCAGATTTTAATCCTGTCTGAATTTGGCTCAATGACAGGACAACAGCTGTGTTTATAAGATCAAAGTTTTATGTTTAACCACCATTAGAAGCAAAGATGCCAGCAGCATTTATTGTCTTTTACTACATAGAAATAGAAACTCAACTCATTACAGCATTATAAATGCAGTTGGTAAAAATGAATATTTCATAAATCTTTAAATCAAATTGTTCGTAAAGGCTGAGAAACCTGGTGGTCTCCTCATGTTTACCATTGTTCATGTGGATTTTATAAGCTTACATTAAGTGTTACAAGCCTCAAGGTAAAGCATCCTGTCAAAAATTAGTTCAAAAGGCAAACAGCTATATCACAGAAATAAGCTGATCCAAGGAAAGTTTCAGACATCACTTGATCCTACGCAAGGGCAACACTTTTTTTTTAATTAAGGTAGTTCAAAGAACAGATGAAAAGGTCAGAAAGTAGATTAAATGCTTTTGAATTTCCATGAAATCTGTGCCCAATGCATGCAAATGGAAGTGCTTATGAGTTTGAGTAATGGATATATCATAACATGTATGTTTTTCTAGCTTTTGTGAAATGAGATCTTCAAAGCTGATACATTAATTATTTTGTGGTGTTATTGTGATTAGGTAACAAATGGTTGCTATAAATTAAAATCATGTTAATAAAAAAGTTCTCACATTTTTAAAGGGCATTATTTCTTTAAATGTATAATTAGAAACAAATGTTAATTGTTTTGAAATTCTTTTCAAATGCCTGTTAAGATAAATGTTTTTGAATCAGCAAGGTGTTAAAATTAAAGAAACAGAGTGTTCTCTCCTGTCCTTTTTACTGAGCAAACAGTTTGATAAAGATATATTGGAACACAATGCTGCTTCTGAGGACTTGACCAAGCTCTCAGGAGGAGTGTGTGGAAATGAATAATAATTATCATTTTTATTTGGCAAATTTTATTTGAGCCCAAAGCTAAGGCTACTACTTCTATGGAATAAAGTTGGGTTAAACTAAGTTTAACTTTTCGAGGTATAGAAAAACATGGAAAATAGTCTAGAGCCATACTTTTTCTCTCCTAAAAACTATTAAAATCAGTCTTGGGCACAATATTACCTCATAACTTCCCAATCAGCATCTCTGGGACAATGTCAGATTTTGGACAATTACAAAAAAACAGACACAAATGTGCAAACCAGATTTCAATTTCTTCTCCACTGACATGAGATTTAAAACAGCAACAGAAACATTTCTGGGTCAGTGTCAATACACAGTCACAAATTACCAAAGTAAGAAACAAATTGGAGTGCATGGGTGTGTGATTTTGTGTTTTGGCCAGGGAAAGATATTGAAATATTCACAACATAGAAGCCAAATCATAAAAATGAAATGGAACTTACATTCCCATCATTCTGAAAAAGTAAGATTTGGCTCTGACATCTTGCAGATTTGTGATATCCTGACTTTTGCTTCAATAGTCCTAAATAATACAAGTTTCAGAACATAAGTACAACTTTTTCTCTTTGATGTTTTAAGTGAAGCAATCCTGAGGAAAACTTAAATTATAACAGAAATTTAGACATATTTGTAAACAAACATGGAAAAACTAAAACCAGGACACGCAATGTGAAATATCTCATGTTATCATCAGGAATTAGAAGTGATGACCAGTAACTAATTCCTCATAAATACTTCCTCCTGTTTAGTATAATTTAAACATATTTCAAAGAACAAAGTTTACTCAGGAAAAAAATCACTATACAATTTCAAAATAAACAAAATAAAGTTTAACAACAAAGTGTAAGTTGGAAAATGGTCCTGTAGCCTGCTTTTATGATCTAAAGAAAAAGAGGTTAGAGTTCTCAATGCTTACACAGGATAAAGTACATTTCACTCCTGAAACTAACCGGTAAAGGCAACCCTCTCATTTCTTGAGAATGTCTTATCTTACAGTCACTATATTCATTCACAAATGGAACCACCATTTTCTTCTCTTTGAGGATAACATTTCCTGTCTTTTGGCATAATCACATGCAATCATCATGAGTTATTGTTTTCCAACACAGCTTCCCCTACTGCAAGACACAGAAGTCCTACTGGGTAATCTTTTTTGTTTGTTTGTTTTTTTGAGATGGAGTCTCACTCTGTTGCCCAGGCTGGAGTGCAATGGTACGACCTTGGCTCATGGCAACCTCCTCCTCCAGGGTTCAAGCGATTCTCTTGCCTTAACCTCCCAAGTAAGTGGGACCACAGGCACGTGCCACAACATCTGACTAATTTTGTTTTTGCATTTTTAGTAGAGATGGGGCTTCACCATGTTGGCCAGGCTAGTTTCGAACTCCTAACCAAAAGTGATCTGCCTGCCTTAGCCTCCGAAAGTGTTGGGATTACAGGCATGAGCCACTGCACCCAGCCCTATTGGGTAATTTCATCAGACAACTTTTTTATTTTGGATAAGCCCTTATTCCAGAGAACCCATTTCTTATATACCCAAGCCCAACATATTCAGTTGCCTAATTTCCATCCCTAAATAAAACCCAGCACTTTCTACATCAATTTTTCGAAGTATATAACAACCATTTTTGAATACACCGGCCTTAGGGATGACTTTATTTCTTGGATACACCCTGAAATGATAAAGATTTTTAAGAGTCACTATTGAAAGCCCTTTGGCTATCCTGATACTTTTAGGAATCCTTGCCCCATCACAGAGACTCTTGTTCGTTCAAAATCTTCTGATAAAGGGGTAAATGAAACAATTTATATCATTTGGTTATAATATCTTACTGTATTAAATAATTGAACTGGAAATTGCTATGAAATTTTTCATCTGTACTTTTAAGCATGTAAAAGTTGAACCCAAACATCTACATGATTATAAAATTTCACTGAATTCTTTAATTACCTAGAACATTCTCCTATCTCTTAAAAATATAATGTTCTTGATTTCATAAGATAATTATTTTAAGACACCTTACAAAAACTTGAGTAAAAAATATTTATTGACATTAATTAACATAAATCTCTAAAACCTCAAAAATAAGACTTACTCATCTCTGAAATAAATACACATCTCTAAACTGTGTGACAGACACATAGTAGGTATTTTCTTTCACCTTTATTTAATTCTTACAGCAACTCCACAAAACAATGATTTCTATCTGCATTTTACAAGAGGAAATGAAGCTACAGAGAGGACATTAACTTACAGGAATTGACAGTTTGTCAAAATGTATTGAATTCTATACAGGACTGGTAAGCAGAACCATAATTTTATATGCTTCTGTCCGTATCACAATGTATCCCAGAAATGTGATACAGCTGTCTTAGGTAATGTTGATTTTTAATGATTTTTGAGAGGGTGAACACAGTTCCACTGCCACTAGGTCCCATCTCAAAAACATTTGAGTTTCTTGGTAAGAACAGTGAAGATTCATAAAAGAGGCTGTTAAAAAGGTATCCACTAGAAGTCATTTTTCAAGGTAAGTTTTATCCCATATATCAGATGTTCTAAGACTGTTAAAACACCTAGTCCAAAGGAATCTGCATAAACAGGGTTGAGTAATATAATCAATCACATATTTAAGAAACTAAAGACCATTTTTTGCATTGAGTATACATACACATATATATACTCAACAACCACTTCCAGAGTACCCTAAGAGATTTTTTTTCTTTTGAGATAGTGTCGCTCTGTCGCGCAGGCTGCAGTGCAGTGGCACGATTTTGGCTCACTACAACCTCTGCCTTCCAGGTTCAAGTGATTCTCCTACCTTGGCCTCTCAAACCATGCTGGGCTAATTTTTTTATTTTAATTTTTTTTAGTAGAGATAGAGTTTCACCATGTTGGCCAGGGTGGTCTCAAACTTCTGACCTCAAGTGATCTACCCACCTCAGCCCCCCAAAGTGTTGGGATTACAGGTGTGAGCCACTGCACCTGGACTTTATTCTCTTTTGATATGTTTGTGACCCTGAGAATTAGAATTCTACACTGAAAGTATAGAAGACAGGATACACTTTGAATACTCCTTTTTTGATAAACTCAAAAGCATTACTTTTCCTTAGTCATCTCTTCACTGGAGCCGAGCTGCTGAGTCAATATATAGTTTTATAAGACGATTAAAAAAGATATATATGTATATACACAAAGAACAGAATAGGAAAATAATTTTTCAAACGATGAACATTTTATGTAATAAAAGCAACTGAAACATTTTCTAAAGTATACAGTATATTTGATATAAAAATAAGAAATTCTTCAAAATGTGTATTAAAAATACAAAGTTTGTGACTCTAAGGTACAGAGAAAACTTTACACTTCAGTCACCCAAAACAACAGCTTGTGGTCTCCTCCAATGACACACAGAGGGAGAGTTTGATACCAGGAGAGGCCAGATCCAACGGGTACAGAACCCACAAGGACAGGCTATAAAATATGTAAAGAATTCAAGAAGCACAATAAGTCCCCAAAATTAATAAATCAAAATGACTTTCAAAAATATGAAATGCACTGATAAATTATATTTGTAGCAGAAACGAAATTTAAAAATATTCTCCCTTACAGGTGAAATACACATTATTGATATGCAGCTGGAATATGGGATACAATCTATCTATGAATAACTGGTACATTCCAGTCTCCATTTTTGCTGCCTACACCAACCAAACAAGCAAAATTAATGTATTTAAATAAAGAAGAAAATATAAAAGTGACAGAAAAAATAAAAAGCTTCTTACATGAATATTGGCAAAAAAAAACCTGTTGTCACTGGTATGTAAACATCAAAAAACACACAAAAATCAAAAACAAATTAATCACCTTTTCTTGTAATTTAAACAGGTAACAGATACAAATGTTTTTAGTTAACAAATTACAAATTTAGACCTATGAGTGGAAAAGTCAAAAACACAAATTAAGAAAAGCACATATGTTACAAACATTTCCACATTACCTGAGAATGTCCTAAATGATGAATTTGAAACTGGCTTGCCATTTTGCCAGGATAACCAGTGGTTGCAAACAGATTTTCACTAATTGTGGACCACCTAAGAAATAAGGAAACATAAAAGTAAGTATCGTATCTTTCAGATAACTACAAGCTTTTCTGAAGCGGGTTTTTTGTTTTTCTTTTCTTTTTTTTTTAAAGAGACAGGGTCTTGCTCTGTTACCTAGGCTGGAGTGCAGAAGTGCTAACAAAACTCACTGTAGCCTCAAATTCCTGGGCTCAAGTGATCTTCCCACCTCAGCCTTCCTAGTAGCTGGGACTACAGGTGTGTACCATGAGGCCCAGATAAGTTTACATTTTTTTATTTTTTGTAAGAATGGTGTCTTGCTATCTTGCCAAGGCAGGTCTCAAACTCCTGACCTCAAGTGATCCTCCTGACGTGCTGGGATTATAGGTGTGAGCCACAGCACCTGGCCAGAAATCAGTTTCTTTTTATATAAAACCAGTGATTTTAATAATCCTAAATTTGTTCATATGTCTTTATAATTAGACTAGGAATTCCAGGAAAATATTCCATAAATATTTTCTCATACTTTAAATATATATGAAGTGCTTATTTTGTGTCACTTTGAGTTCCAAAGTTACACAAGGTTAATACAGTTCTTTTTTTTCACAACCCAAAGGGCTAACCGTGTGGGAGAAAACACAAATAAGGCATCAAATATGACAGCCATTCTGTCCCTTTTCCATGCTAAGTGAACCCCAACTTAGTTCAGGGCACAGGATGTCCAACCCCCAGGGATGAGACACAATTAGTTTAAGGCAGTCACAGCAATCTCCCATAAAAAGAGCGGGTTCCTTCTTCTCCTTTATTGTTTTGTTTAATTGTTCTGCAAATGGAATAATTCTCTTATGCCTGGAACTCTCACAGCCGTCCAGTGACTATGAAGCAACAAGCCCAAATCCTTGCTATTGAGAATAGCAGAGGGAAAGGATGAAAAGGGTCTGTGAATTCTTGATGACACTGATGAGCTGCTAAACAAGCCTGGAGATTACCTACAGAATTATAAGTACCATAGCTCACTGATTTTAAAATTGATGTATACTTGCTCATTGGTGTATACTTGTTCACATCTCTAAAGTCAGGATGTATCTTATAATCCATGGCATTCTTACATTTAGTCAAATGTATTTTATTCTCAATAATGATATCCCCAAGTTCTACAATTTTATCAGGGATATTTCAGATTTGCTGGAATACAGACTATGCTATATTCCAGCAAATCTAAAATATCCCCAATAACTGGTTTTAGTCTCTTATTTGGTTTGGCTGGTACTTAGAAGAAATAATAGCTTAATGCCCACACTATACAATGGAGTATTATGAAAAAGAACAAGGCAGATATGTATGTTAAGTGAAAAATAAAAGCACATTGCAGAGATATGCTATCTAGCATGATTTCATTTAACACACAACGATAAGTTTATATACATGAACACGGGCTCCCCTACATTTACATCCTTAACAGCACAGCACAATCGGGAAGCATAATATATTCCAAATTGTCGGGTGGTAGTGGTGGAGTGGTTACATGTTTTTTTTGTATAAAGAAAATATTTGGAAACAAATCAACTCCTTGTCTAGACCAAAAGAAAAAAGCAATGACTTAGTTGGGAAAGTAAAATAACCACTTATAAAACAATCAGGGGAAAAAAAATCCAGTGCAAAGGAAAGAACTGCACAAGTAGACCAGTGATGGCACAGCACAACATCAAAAGACCAAATCAAAGCTCCAACAAAAACGGTATTACCTGAATAAGCAGGCTCGATCCATGTGAACAGGTCTCTTAGTTTGAGGATGACTAAAAGATAATATTTTGCATTTTATGAATTCTCTATTAGACTCAAGAAAATGAACTTAAACTAAGATTTAAAAGGTATTTTCTCTTTATAGGACAGAATGTCCAATGTGTTTAAACTATAATACATTCTAAACAAGCAATCAGTTAAAACAGATGGAACACAATAAAGACATGACTTAGAACCATTACAGGGAACTGTTATGCAACAGGGTTGGTTTTTTTCCCTGTTTTCCAATTTAAGCAAACATTGCACAGATCCACAGTTTCCTCTTTTGCACTGTCCTTTCTGGGTTACTTCCAGAGTAAATCTGCATAGCAAGCTGCTGTTAGGTAAAAATCCATAGATCTGGCCTTCTATAGGAGAGAATTCTTTTTGCTTGTCAGTGTAGTCCCAGGTGTAACAGGATGGCCGAGTGGATCATTTAGCAAAGTTACTTTTCTTCTGTAACAAACAAATAAAATCAAGAAAGTACCTGGACCGAGTAATATCCCAAATTAACCAATCATTTCCTGCAACAGCTCCAACTTTGAAGGTGTGTTTTAAGCACCAGTGTGCTGACATTAATGGCACTTGTTCTGATTCAAGAGATAAAATAGCCTGTTGAGCGAAAAGATCATAAAACCGGATTGTTCCATTCTTCTCTGCAACCATCAGCTATAAGGAAAAAAAAAAAAAGAAAAGGAAACTCAGTCCCTTATCTCACTAACTATACCTGAGGTGTGAGCAGATTCACTGTTATACAGTAAAATACAGGGTTGAGCATTCCTAATCTGAAAATCTGAAATGCTCCAAAAACTGAAACTTTTTGAGTGCCGACATGATGCCACAGGTGAAAAATTCCACATATACGCATTTAACACAAACTGTTTCATGTGTGAAATTATAAAAAAGTTATATAAAACTATCTTCAAATCATGTGTATAAGGTATACATGAGACATAAACAAATTTCATGTTTAGACTTGAGTCCCATTCCCAAGATATGTCATGTATATGCAAATATTACAAAATACAAAAAAATCCCAAATCTGAAACACTGCTAGTTCCAAGAATTTCATATAAGGATACTCAATCTATATTACAAACGGAGGATCAAATGTAAAGGAAGTAAGAGGCTATGTAACAATCTCCAAAAAATTCCCTAAGGTGACGTGAAGAGAGTGAGACAGAGTCTAAGTAACTTATCAGAGATTACATAGCTAGTAAGTGGTAACACTGGGATTTGACTGCAGGCAGTTAACTCTTAACTCACTCTCAACCACTTTTCTGTATTCTAGGTTTCTGAGTTTAGCAGTGATAGGATGAAACCGGTATTTTAAGACTCTTAGTCTAGTAGGAAAGAAGGATCAAAGAGTAAGAGCAAAAGTCTTTAGAAACAAGCTAAGGCTTGGCAAGTTAGGTGTGAGAACAGAACGGGGGAGAATGCACCTTAATGAAGAGAAGAATGCTAGAGTTAGTGAGATGAAGGAAAAATTAAAAGGCCTGGAATAGTTTCGGTATAGGAAAAGAAGGAATTAAAGATGATTTTAGGATTCTGAGTTTACGTGATTTAATACAGGGACATTCAAACATTCTGAAGTCATGGTAACATCATAAAAGAAAGGAGATGGAGTAAGGTGGAATTTTAATGATAGGTAGGAGAAAAACAAATGAAGTTAAAGCATATGGAAGAAAGAGATAAAAAATAATGGCAAGAAATTAAGCATTAAGATGTAAGTTTGGGGACACAAGTTGTAATAAATGTTCTCACTTGTAATGCAGGTCATAGTTTTTAAAAAGCAGTCTACTGTTATATTAACATTTTGGTAAAAACTGTGACTATGTTTTAATTTAAGGAGACTCACTGCTCTAGGGGGGAGAAATGTAGGCATAAAACAAAATTTAGGAACTGGATTCAGAAATAAACCTATCAATTTAGTAAGTTAGAACATTTCACTCATGCACATATGCAGAGTATAATTCTACAGATCAAAGACTCAATGGGCCTGAAACAAATTTCCATGAAATCCCAGGGTTCAGAGAACACACTTACTTATAGTCTGGGGATTATCTCCTCTGTGAAAGCTGTGAGAAGATTTGGTTAATCCTTCTTCATGTCATTATTCTACTTAATGGATTTTTTTATTCTAAAACTTATTATTTGTATTGCTGTATTTACATGTTTTCCTTTCTTATATTATCAGTATACAACTTAAGAGCAGGGACTTTGTTCATTCTTTTGTTCCCTATTACAATAAAGGGTACAGTGTAGGTGAGAACCCTTGAAGCAATTCATAAATATCTGATGAAAGAAAAGTTGGCAGAGTATAAAGAAAGGGAACATATACGCAAAGTTGCTCAAGAGGACTCAGGAAATGCGGCTTTAAAAATCAAACGAGCAGAGTTTTAAGAAGGAGGGGATCTGCAGTGTAAAAAACCTGGCTGAAGAATAAGAATGAAGGAAAAGGCCATGGGATGTGATGAAAATATTCCTGGTACCTTCTGAAAGAGTAGTGGAGACTGACTGAGATTGTGGAGTTAGACCAAGGGATGGGAAAAGAAGAAATGAATTTAAAAGATATAAGTGATGGAGTCAAACATTTAGAAATAAAAGGTGTGATGAACATAGTTTAAAATTTAAGGGGGAGGTGAAAAAATGGAATTTTTAAGAGAAAGAACTATGGAGCTGGGCTGCATGAGTGCAAATGCCAATTCTTCCACTTACTAGCTGTGTGACCTTGGATAATTTATTTAATTTCTCTGAGCCTTAGTTTCCTTATCTGTAAAATGGGGATAATCACAGTACCTATCTCATGTTACCAGGAGGAACATACATGAAATGCTGACTATGGGCCTGTCAGAAGTAAGCACTGTCAGAAGTAAGCATGATTACTGAAACTTATCTTCTTGTGCAAACTTGAGGACAAACAGTCGATAGAGAAAAAGCATGAAGATGCCCAGATGCGGTGGCTCAGCAACTTGGGAGGCTGAGGTCAGCAGATCACTTGAGACAAAGAGTTTGAGACCCGCTCGGGCAACATGGCGAAACTCTGTCTCTACAAAAAGTACAAAAATTGCCGAAGTGTAGTGGTGCATACCTGTAGACCAATACTCAGGAGGCTGAGATGGGAAGATCACCTGCACTCAGGACATGAAGGTTGCGGTGAATGAAGAACGCTAGAGTTACTGGAAATGAAACTATCAAGCATGGCCAACTTAGGGATAACTACCAGATTAAACGTGGGCTGATTGAGCCACAGTACCCCAGCCTGGGCAACAGCCAGACTGTGTCTCAAAAAAAAAAAAGGTATGAAGACATTAGAGGACCATAGGAGCCTAAGGAACTGCCATGAACTTTAGAGAATAGATGAAGAATTAACTTTTTTTTTTTTTTTTTGCATTTTAGGTTTTGGGGTACATGTGCAGAGCATGCAATACAGTTGCATAGGTACACACATGGCAGTGTGTTTTGTTTGCTTTCTCCCCTTCACCCACATTTGGCATTTCTCCCCAGGCTATCCCTCCCCACCTCCCCCTCCCACTGGCCCTCCCCTTTTCCCCCCAATAGACCCCAGTGTTTAGTACTCCCTTCTCTGTGTCCATGTGTTCTCATTTTTCATCACCCGCCTATGAGTGAGAATATGCGGTGTTTCATTTTCTGTTCTTGTGTCAGTTTGCTGAGAATGATGTTCTCCAGATTCATCCATGTCCCTACAAAGGACACGAACTCATCATTTCTGATTGCTGCATAATATTCCATGGTGTATATGTGCCACATTTTCCCAATCCAGTCTATCATTAATGGGCATTTGGGTTGATTCCAGGTCTTTGCTATTGTAAACAGTGCTGCAATGAACATTCATGTGCATGTGTCCTTATAGTAGAACGATTTATAGTCCTTTGGATATATACCCAGTAATGGGATTGCTGGGTCAAATGGAATTTCTATTTCTAAGGCCTTGAGGAATCGCCACACTGTCTTCCATAATGGTTGAACTAATTTACACTCCCACCAACAGTGTAAAAGTGTTCCTTTTTCTCCACATCCTCTCCAGCATCTGTCATCTCCAGATTTTTTAATAATCGCCATTCTAACTGGCATAAGATGGTATCTCAATGTGGTTTTGATTTGCATCTCTCTCATGACCAGTGACAATGAGCATTTTTTCATATGATTGTTGACCTCATATATGTCTTCTTTCGTAAAGTGTCTGTTCATATCCTTTGCCCACTTTTGAATGGGCTTGTTTGTTTTTTTCCTGTAAATCTGTTTGAGTTCTTTGTAAATTCTGGATATCAGCCCTTTGTCAGATGGGTAGACTGCGAAAGTTTTTTCCCATTCTGTTGGTTGCCGATCCACTCTAGTGACTGTTTCTTTTGCCGTGCAGAAGCTGTGGAGTTTGATTAGGTCCCATTTGTCTATTTTGGCTTTTGTTGCCAATGCTTTTGGTGTTTTGTTCATGAAGTCCTTGCCTACTCCTATGTCCTGGATAGTTTTGCCTAGATTTCCTTCTAGGGTTTTTATGGTGCCAGGTCTTATGTTTAAGTCTTTAATCCATCTGGAGTTAATTTTGGTGTAAGGTGTCAGGAAGGGGTCCAGTTTCTGCTTTCTGCACATGGCTAGCCAGTTTTCCCAGCACCATTTGTTGAACAGGGAATCCTTTCCCCATTGCTTGTTTTTGTCAGGTTTATCAAAGATTGTATGGTTGTAGCTAGGTTGTGTTGCCTCTGATGCCTCTGTTCTGTTCCATTGGTCTATATCTCTGTTTTGGTACCAGTACCATGCTGTTTTGATTACTGTAGCCTTGTAGTATAGTTTGAAATCCAGTAGTGTGATGCCCCCCGCTGTGTTCTTTTTGCTTAGAATTGACTTGGCTATGCGGGCTCTCTTTTGGTTCCATATGAAGTTCATGGTGGTTTTTTCCAGTTCTGTGAAGAAAGTCAATGGTAGCTTAATGGGTATAGCATTGATTCTGTAAATTACTTTGGGCAGTATAGCCATTTTTATGATATTAATTCTTCCTAACCATGAACATGGAATGTTTCTCCATCTGTTTGTGTTCTCTCTGATTTCGTTGAGCAGTGGTTTGTAGTTTTCCCTGAAGAGGTCCCTTACGTTCCTTGTGAGTTGTATTCCAAGGTATTTTATTCTTTTTGTAGCAATTGTGAATGGCAGTTTGTTCTTGATTTGGCTCTCTTTAAGTCTGTTATTGGTGTAGAGGAAGGCTTATGATTTTTGCACATTGATTTTATATCCTGAGACTTTGCTGAAGTTGCTTATCAGTTTCAGGAGTTTTGGGGCTGAGGCGATGGGGTCTTCTAGGTATACTATCATGTCATCTGCAAATAGAGACAATTTGGCTTCCACCTTTCCTATTTGAATACCCTTTATTTCTTTTTCTTGCCTGATTGCTGTGGCTAGAACTTCCAGTACTATATTGAATAGGAGTGGTGAAAGAGGGCATCCTTGTCTAGTGCCGGATTTCAAAGGGAACGCTTCCAGTTTTTGTCCATTCAGTATGATATTGGCTGTTGGTCTGTCATAAATAGCTTTTATTACTTTGAGATACATTCCATCAATACCGAGTTTATTGAGGGTTTTTAGCATAAAGGGCTGTTGAATTTTGTCAAATGTCTTTCTCTGGGTCAATTGAGATAATCATGTGGTTTTTGTTTTTGGTTCTGTTTATGTGATGAATTACATTTATAGACTTGCGTATGTTGAACCAGCCTTGCATCCCTGGGATGAATCCTACTTGATCATGATGGATACGTTTTTTGATGTGCTGTTGCAGTTGGTTTCCCAGTATTTTATTGAAGATTTTTGCATCTATGTTCATCATGGATATTGGCCTGAAATTTTCTTTTCTTGTTGAGTCTCTGCTGGGTTTTGGTATCAGGATGATGTTGGTCTCATAAAATGATTTGGGTCCCCACCTACCTCAGCCTCCCAAAGTGCTAGGATTACAGGCATAAAAAAAAATGATTTGGGAAGGATTCCCCCTTTTGGGATTATTTGGAATTGTTTCAGAAGGAATAGTACCAGCTCCTCTTTCTGTGTCTGGTAGAATTCAGCTGTGAACCCATGTGGACCTGGGCTTTTTTTGTGTGGTAGGCTCTTAATTACTGCCTTGACTTCAGACCTTGTTATTGGTCTATTCATAGTTTTGGCTTCCTCCTGGTTTAGGCTTGGGAGGACACAGGTATCCAGGAATTTATCCATTTCTTCCAGGTTTACTAGTTTATGTGCATAGAGTTGTTTGTAATATTCTCTGATGATGGTTTGAATTTCTGTGGAATCTGTGGTGATTTCCCCTTTATCATTTTTTATTGCATCTATTTGGTTGTTCTCTCTTTTATTTTTAATCAGTCTGGCTAGTGGTCTATTTTGTCGATCTTTTCAAAAAACCAGCTCTTGGATTTATTGATTTTTCAAAGGGTTTTTCGTGTCTCTATCTCCTTCAGTTCTGCTCTGATCTTAGTTATTTCTTGTCTTCTGGTAGGTTTTGAGTTTTTTTTTGATCTTGCTCCTCTAGCTCTTTCCATTTTGATGATAGGGTGTCAATTTTGGATCTCTCCACTCTTCTCATGTGGGCACTTATTGCTATATATTTTCCTCTGGAGACTGCTTTAAATGTGTCCCAGAGATTCTGGTATGTTGTGTCTTTGTTCTCGTTGGTTTCAAAGAACTTCTTTATTTCTGCCTTCATTTCATTGTTTATCCAATCAACATTCAAGAGCTAGTTGTTCAGTTTCCATCAAGCTGTGCAGTTCTGAGTTAGTTTCTGAATTCTGGGTTCTAACTTGATTGCATTATGGTCTGAGAGACTGTTTGTTATGATTTTAGTTGTTTTGCATTTGCTGAGGAGTGCTTTACTTCCAATTATGTGGTCAATTTTAGAGTAGGTGTGATGTGGTGCTGAGAAGAATGTATATTCTGTGGATTTGGGGTGGAGAGTTCTGTAAATGTCTATCAGGTTTGCTTGTTCCAGGTCTGAGTTCAAGCCCTGGATATCCTTGTTAATTTTCTGTCTGATTGATCTGTCTAATATTGACAGTGGAATGTTAAATGCTCCCACTATTATTGTGTGGGAGTCTAAGTCTCTTTGTAAGTCGTTAAGAACTTGCCTTATATATCTGGGTGCTCCTGTATTGGGTCCATATATATTTAGGATCATTAGCTCTTCTTGTTGTATCTATCCTTTTACCATTATGTAATGACCTTCTTTGTCTCTTTTGATCTTTGTTGCTTTAAAGTCTATTTTATCAGAAATGAGAATTACAACTCCTGCTTTTCTTTGCTCTCCATTTGCTTGGTAAATCTTCCTCCATCCCTTTATTTTGAGCCTTTGTGTATCCTTGTATGTGAGGTGGGTTTTCTAGATACAGCACACCAATGGGTTTTGGTTTTTTATCCAATTTCCCAGTCTGTGTCTTTTGACTGGTGCATTTAGCCCATTTACATTTAGGGTTAATATTGTTATGTGTGAATTTGATACTGCCATTTTGATGCTAGCTAGCTGTTTTGCCTGTTAGTTGATGCAGATTCTTCATTTTGTTGATGCTCTTTAGCATTTGGTATGTTTTTGAAATAACTGGTACTGGTTGTTCCTTTCTATGTGTAGTGCCTCTTTCAGGAACTCTTGTAGAGCAGGCCTGGTGGTGACAAAATCTCTGAGTACTTGCTTGTTTGCAAATGATTTTATTTTTCCTTCACTTCTGAAGCTCAGTTTGGCTGGATATGAAATTCTGGGTTGAAAGTTCTTTTTTTTAAGGATGTTGAATATTGGCCCCCACTCTCTTCTGGCTTATAGAGTTTCTGCCGAGAGATCTGCTGTGAGTCTGATGAGCTTCCCTTTGTGGGTGACCCAACCTTTCTCTCTGGCTGCCCTTAGTATTTTCTCCTTCATTTCAACCCTGGTGAATCTAATGATGACATTCCTTGGGGTAGCTCTTCTTGAGGAATATCTTTGTGGTGTTCTCTGTATTTTCTGGACTTGAATATTGGCCTGCCTTGCTAGGTTGGGAAAATTTTCCTGGATAATATCCTGAAGAGTATTTTCCAGCTTGGATTTATTCTCTTCGTCACATTCTGGTACACCTATCAAACGTAGGTTAGGTCTCTTCACATAGTCCCGCATTTTTTGGAGATTTTGTTCATTCCTTTTTGCACTGTTTTCTCTAATCTTGGTTTCTTGTTTTATTTCATTGAGATAATCTTCGACTTCTGATATTCTTTCTTCTGCTTGGTCAATTTGGCTGTTGAAACTTGTGCATGCTTTGCGAAGTTCTTGTGTTGTGTGTTTCAGCTCCTTCAATTCATTCATATTCCTCTCTACATTGTTCATTCTTGTTATCATTTCCTTGAATCTTTTTTCAACAGTCTTAGTTTCTTTGCATTGATTTCTCTGCATCCCAATAATCAGGGTGGCATCAACACTCTGTCTATCCTCTGTGGCACTTCTAGAAATAGCCTGCAACCTTCACTGAGTGAGGTCCAATTCTTCTTTCTTCAAATGTCATCAATGCATGCTATGGGATCTTTTACGGTGAAACTCTATTTTAAAAATGAAAAGAAAATGGTATAAAATAAGTTAAACAGTCCCAGCATTGACAGCGATATCAGCATTGACAATCACATTTCCAACAGCTTTGCACCACCTCAGAAATGATCTCACTACAGTTTGTGCTATGCTTGAGTCAGGTCCTATGGAATTTTCTTGGCTTTCCATATCCTTTGAGCTAATAATTCACTTGTTTCAAAATGTAAGATTTTTCCTGTGGACAAATCTAATATAGTCCCATCTTCTCTCTGCTTTGGGAATATTTTTAAACAACGCACTTTTATTTTTTAAAAGGTATATTTACTTTCTATTATTTGGAACTAGTAATAGAGACCCCCTAAAAGAAAACAACCAGGATTGCTGAAGGCGGTGGCTCACACCGTAATCCCAGCACTTTGGGAAGCCGAGGCAGGCAGATCACGAGGTCAGGAGTTGAAGACCAGCCTGGACAACATAGTAAAACCCCATCTTTACTAAAAATACAAAAAGTTAGCCAGGCGCAGTGGCAGGTGCTTGTAATCCCAGTTACTCAGGAGGCTGAGGCAGGAGAATCACTTGAATCCATGAGGTGGAGGTTGCAGTGAGCCAAGACCCTGCTATTGTACTTCATCCTGGCAACAAAGCAAGATTCCATCTCAAAGAAGAAGGAAAGGAAGGGAAGGGAAGGGAAGGGGAGGGGAGAAAAGGAAAAGGAAGGAAAGGAATCAGGATATGACTATTAACATCAATCAGCAGAGGACATATGAAAATCTCATTGCGGGGAGAGCTGTTAGAGATGCCTCCTGTTGGGGAGAAGCTAATTAATGAAGTTGCGCAATCCTTACATATTTATGTCAAACACATTAAGAATAAAAAGAAAGTGCCCTTTTTAAAAATGCAAAATGTCTTCAGTGAATTTTTACTAATCCTAATTGTCAACAATTTAAAATGTTTGAATTGATAAACACCTACCTGGAAATCTTGGATGAACGTTAGGAAGTAGAAAATAAAACCGAAGGCCACTGTCCATTCACAGATCGCACTCACTACATGATATTCGTAATCCTAATGGCAATAATAAAGAAACAGAATTTAGCCTCAAAAGATTCACTTTAATGTACGTACTGAAATAACTCCGAAGAGGTTCGAAAAAAAAAAAAAGCTGTCCAGTGAGCATAAGTCAGAACTTTGAGGATATACGGCAATCACAACCACGTTACTAAGTGTCAGGGCACCTGCCCACTGAGAATGCAAAGGCAGGTTTTCCAAAGTTCTTTCTGGCTTCCACAAACTCTCGTTTTATGATTGAGTTTATCACTTCAAAAGGTAGACTAAGGACTACCAAATGGCTGAGACTGGGAAGCAAATTTGGACTCAACAGAAGAAAGAACTTTCCATACAAGGCATGACTTGGTCTCCCTTTGCTGGGAATCCCTAACTGTAAGAGCATGCTTAACAAGAGCTCTTGCCCCAATCTTTAAAAAAATAAAAACAGTGGCTCACGCCTGTAATCCTCGCACTTTGGGAGGCCAAGGTGGGCGGATCACCTGAGGTCAGGAGTTCAAGACCAGCCTGGCCATCATGGTAAAACCCCATGTTTAAAAAAAAAAAAAAGCACCCTCGTACTCGTAGTTGTTCCAAAGAATGTGTGTTACCATCTAGACAACCTGGCTGACTAGCCCCCTAGGTTTCGTGTTTTCCCTGTTTATATAGAAATGTTCATTCAGAAAATCGTTCTGCTTAACCTCCTAAATACAGCTACCAAGAATATGCTAATAACGAACATCCACATGTTAACTGTGTATCTTCGTGGAGGCAAGAATGAGAGAATGGAGGCCTGTTATCCCAGCACTTTGTAAGGCCAAGGCGGGTGGATCACTAGGTCAGGAGTTCAAGACCAACCTGACCAACATGGTAAAAACTTGTCTCTAAAAAAAAAAAAAGAATGAGAGAATGGAGGCCAAGGAAACAGCTTAAATCAGAAGTTCCAAACTCAGCTGCATATGGAGGCCAGAAAATTAATAATAATAAATAAAATTAATGGTTGTGAAAAGAGAGAGAAATTAGGGGGCTCACACCTCATCAGCTCAATTCCATGGGAAAATAGTACACTAGTGTTGCTTTCAGAGAGGTTTGAAAAAAAAAAAGTGTGTGTGTGTGTGTGTGTGTGTGTTGTCCGTCTGTCTGTGTGTGTGTGTGTGTGTGTGATATCTCCTGATTTTTCAGTGCTAGAAACTAATTTTACAACTGTGAGCCAAGTACAGTGGCGCACACTTGTATTGTTAGCACTTTGGAAGGCTGAGGCAGGAGGATCACTTGAGCTCAGGAGTTGGAGACCAGCCTGTGCAACATAACAAGACAAGAAAGAATTAGCTGGGCATGGTGGCCTGCACCTGCAGCCCCAGCTACTTGGGAAGCTGAAGTGGGAAGATCTCTTGAGCCCAGAGGGTAGACATTGCAGTGAACCATGATCGTGTCACTCTACTCCAGCCTGGGTGACAGAGCGAGACTCTGTCTCAAAAATAATAGAAATAATAAAATAAAAATAAATAAAATTCTCAGTCAAAAATGCATGTCTGCATTCTGACATTAGCTGACATGCAAATGAGGCCTGGGGACTGTCTGCATGCCTGTGTGATTTCCTGCTTCACTTTCTGCTCTGCTGTAGGCTAGAAGGGCAAGGAAATGTGCTGGATCACAGGGCAGTTCTTTTTTTCTTCTTTTTTTTTTTTTTTTTGAGGCAGAGTCTCACTCTGTCACCCAGGCTGGAGTGCAATGGCATGACCTCAGCTCACTGCAACCTCCGCCTCCTAGATTCAAGCGATTCTCCTGCCTCAGCTTCCTGAGTAGCTGGGATTACAGGCGCCCAACCACACACAGCTAATTTTTGTATTTTTAGTAGGGTTTTGCCATGTTGGTCAGGCTGCACAGGGCAATGCCACGGTGACAGCTATTTTCTTTGATCCTGTGCCCATCCAGGCAGATCTACTGGAGGCACACCAGGCCCGCAGACCACCACTCTTCACTCTGCCTGTTATGGTCACCTCCACCCACTGTTCTCATACTGGGTCACACTGAGAAGAAGCTGACCAGCTTCCATTAGGAGGTAGAGAACAGAGGCTCCCTCCTGTTGCTGCCAGCACCAGGGAACCTGCTTCAACCCATATCATCTCTGAACAAAGAAGATGGCTTCTAAAAACAGAGGCAGAATTTTGGGAGGAATTTCTTAAGCATATTAATGAAAGTACATTGAACCAAGAGTCTGACTGCAGGCAAAGCCCTGATATCTTTGCTATGTGAAACGAGACAGTGACATTAAAATTCTCACCCTCCCTACCAACTAAGTCACTGCATATAAATGTGCTTCGAAAGCTATAAAACACTACACAGAAGTTTGGGGCAGTACCTAAATGATTATTCAGTGAATTAATGTAAAGGGATTTTTTTTATATCCTTCGATATTAGGAACAGAAGGAAATACAAGAATGGCACAGTTATTTATGGGGTGAATAGAAAACCATGGATTTTTCATATTTTTAAGCTGGAAAGTGGAATATAACAGATTTTTAATTGCCTGGGAGTATACTTCGATGAGACCTACCCTGCAGCGGGTTTGTGGTAGAAGGTCTCCCCCAAGTGGCTGAAAAGTAAAGTACACCTGAGCCACACCGCTATGCGGTCTTGCTTTCGGAAAGAGGTTCTCACCAATGGAAAGCGGAACTGAACCCTCTTTACAGGATGGGGCTTATTCCCCACACGTTAGGGGAAAGCCTAGGGCTAGATTAATTTGACCATTTTAATGTTTCATTTTAAAGAAGGTGTTTTTTTTTTTTTTGAGACAAAGTCTCCCTCTTGTTGCCAAGGCTGGAGAGCAGTAATGTGATCTCGATTCACTTCAACCTCTGACTCCCAGGTTCAAGCGATTCTCCTGCCTCAGTCTCCCGGGTAGCTGAGATTACAGGTGTGTGCCACCATACCTGTCCATTTTTTTTAAAATAGAGACGGGATTTCATCATATTGGCCAGGCTAGTCTTGAACTCCTAACCTCAAGTGATCTGCCTGCCTCGGCCTCCTAAAGTGCTGGGGTTACAGGCGTAAGCCACAGAGCCTGGCCAAGGCCCACGTTTCTAACCTTGATAACTCATGATATCTGCAGAGTCACCAATTCTAACCAAACTCATCCACTTCCACTTACTAAATTATTTATCCCTGTTAGGGACCTTATTTCTGGTCAAGGAAATAAATTCTTTGGTTCACCTAAGATAAAATCCTCGAAGTTGTCTTTGATTCTTCGTGCCACTTCATTCTCGTGCTAGTCATTTGCAAAAACCCACTGGATTTTCCCTATTTGAAATGCAAACTAGTAGAACTGCCTTTTCCTGGCCGTCCTCATGCCAAGCTCTCCAAACCATCCCAGACATTGCTTCTACCTAACACTCATCTAATAATACTCTCTCCATTTGCTTAACTGTTCAAAAGTCTTCAAAGTCTTACTCTGGTCATCTGTGTCAAGTACCAGCCTCTCCTGCCTCTTACAGCCACTACTCCCTTGCACAGTTACCCCTGACTGCATTGATTTCTCACTCTATCTTGAAATGAACTATCCACCACACTGGAGCTGGTGTTGTCCTCTCTACTTAACATTCCACACTCCCTTTGGCCACCAAATACCTTCATTCACACTGTCCCTCTACCCTCTTTTACTAAGCATAGATAGTTGAAATGTTTCAGAAAGCAATTAGAGGGCCGGTTGCGGTGGCTCACGCCTATAATCCCAGCACTTTGGGAGGCCGAGGACAGGGAATCACTTGACGCCAGGAGCTCCAGACCAGCCTGGCCAATATGCTAAAAAACCCCATCTCTACTAAAAATACAAAAGTTAAATTAGACAGGCATAGTGGCGCATCCGTGTAGTCCCAGCTACTCAGGAGGCTGAGGCATGAGAATCGCTTGAACCCAGGAGGCAAATGTTGCAGTGAGCTGAGATCATGCCACTTCACTCCAGTCTGGGTGACAGAGCAAGGCTCTGTCTCAGAAAAAAAAAAAAAAATATCTGGGCATGGTGGTGGGTGCCTGTAGTCCCAGCTACTTGGGAGGCTGAGGCAGGAGAACTGCTTGAGCCTGGGAGGCAGAGGTTGCAGTGAGCTAAGATTCCACCACTGCACTCCAACCTGGGCAACAGAGCAAGACTCTGTCTCAAAAAAAAAAAAAAAAAGAGAGAGAGAAATCAGGAACTTAAATTTTTGAAAATAATTCCAGATAGCATTTGGAATTACTCTGCTAGCTAATTATTTGATCCCCACTACCAAATGATTGGATGGTAAATTGATACATAGTATGTTTTGCACCTTGTTCTAAAAAACAGCAGTGATCTTCCCCGAGCCTAGCCTGGCCACAATCTCATGTAACCACATCCAACAGCCACATTCAGAACAACTTAAATGTTACCTTTTCGCTTGGGTCCCACTCCAGCTTGGTTGTGGAAACTAACCAAGCACAATCACTAAAAAAGGTTAAGGAAACTACAGCACAAAACAGTTCCTTTAATGTTAAAACTAGATTGTTCTCCTAATGGTAAACTCATTATACAGTGTTAAAATGTTAATACCAACATTTCTACAGTCAAACCAGTTACATTAGTTTCTTGTAAACTCAAATTTTAAATTCGATTATGAGAGTTAAATTACAACATGGAAATAGCTTTGCAATACTTTTTCAGTTTGTATAGCAACATTTATTAAAATTTGCGGCTACATGTTGTACAACCTGGCATGTTTCTGGATTTTCCCACTTTAACTTAGCTAAACAGCTAGTTAAAATTTTGAAAATAATTCCACAATTTGGAATTTGGTCAAAATGACTAATGTAGCAGTCTAAAATGGCTCATTTTGAGTACTTCCCACCCCAAAATACTATTTCCTCTCTCTCTTTTTTTTTTTTTTTTTTTTTTTTTGAGCTTGTGTCTCGCTCTGTCACCCTGGCTGGAGTGCAATTGTGTGATCTCAGCTCACTGCAACCTCTGCCTCCTGCATTCAAGAGGTCCTGCGACAGCCTCCCTAGTAGTT